CAGCGGGAGGCCTGGGTCCCTGCGTGTGTGGTCAGGCATTGGGGTGCGCAGATGCTGCTCAGAACGTCCAAGGGGGTGAGCGACGGCACGTGGCCTGAGGCCTCAGCCACAGCAGCCACACCTGGCCACGCCCGCACGCGAGTGGCCATTTCCCAGCGTGGCGAGGGCCGTCTTTTGTTTGCTTGCTCTTGGCTTATTAGAGGAATCTTTGCTCCTCTGAGTTTATTTACCAGCTTGTCTCGCCCCCTCTGGTGGACTGTTCTGGGATCTCAGCACCTGACCGTCCCTCGGATGGGCGGCCAGCGGGTGTCTGCTCTCGGCCCGGGAGGCAGCGTGCCCAGGGCCCTGGGTGACAGGCGCCCGTGGGCCTGGAGCTCTGGGGTCCTGCTCGTGTTGCGGAAGCTGCTGAGACGTCCTGTGACCTTGAGCCTAAGAGATCCCGGCTGTGCTCACTCTGCTAGGGGCCAGCCTCAGAAGCGAAGGGAGACTTCTGCTTGGGCACCTGAAACGGGAGATTAGCTTTTGATTTCAGGGTCCCATCCTCAGGGAAGCAGTTCAGAGCCACATCGTTTGTCAAAGTCACGCTCTCTCCTGGATCGGAGGAGTGGTTGGTCTGGGCCCCAGCATAGGTCCGGCCGCGGGGGATCCGGGACCCACAGCCCAGGCCTCCGCTGTCTCTCTGGAGAGGAAGGTGGCAGTCAGGCTGCCTCTGGGAACTGGTACGATCTGAGGATATGCCGGTGGCCCTGGCACGTACAATTGGGGGTGTTTCCCTTCGGGAGTTTTTCTTACCTTCCAAAGCCCTATGAGTCGTGGCCCCCGCGGACGGCACCTTCCCAGCCTGGCGGGAGGGCAGTGACAGGTGACCTGTCCCCGTGGGCTGCATTCTTGGCCATGAAACGCCAGGCTCTGCTGGACTCACCTGGGGAGAGCTTGGATGGCGAGACCTGAGGAGAGTCAGCTGCCCCAAGTCACTGAGGGACGGGATTTAAACCTGTCGCCTGGCTCTCGCCCTTTGTGACTGGCCGTGGCCCAGCCCCTTCAGAGCCTTCGGGGGTGTTCACAGTGGAACCTGATGGCCCCAGGTTAGGGTGCCTCCTTCAGAGAGGCCCTGACCAGGCATCCTGATTGCAGCTTCGTGTTTGGGTTAAATCCTGTTGCGTTTCGGTTCGTTCTGAGACATAGGGCGGCACATGCGTGTGTACCATGTGTGTGTGTGTTCACACGGCTGTGCCTGGTCGAGGTATCTGTGGCTTTCCCCTCCCTGTCCCTGACCCCGCCCCCCGGCACACACGGGAGAGGCCCCTGGTTTTCTCCAGCTCGCACTGCGAGGCCTCCCAGCCCCCAGCCCCCATCACCCAGTAAGTGCTGAGAATACCCTGCAATGCCCCCCTGGTTCGGGGTAACCTGGGTCCCCCTTCACTGAGTGGCACCAGGCGGGCAGGGCGTGGAGAGGTGACAGGACACAGGTCCTCCAGGACCCCATAGGCCTGTGGACCCGCCAGGGGCAGAGAGGATGTCAGACTGTCCAGCTGGTGCCTTAGGATAGCTGAGCCAGGAGGGGGCACCCAGGGGACACTCCATGCCCCTTCCATGCACCCTCCCTGGGCATCTTAGCCAACAAGTCTGCCTCCTCGATCCTGCCCCCCCCCCC